TCACCTTTGCTATATTTTTCTTTTGCGATCCCTAATAGAAATAGTTCTGGCCTCAACTCTTCGATTTAACATCTCTTCCAACCACTTTCTTATCTGGTGCCAAAAGGCCCAGCTTTCGAGCACTCCCACCACATATGGTAGAAGGTCCCTAGCGTAACATTGCATTTCCAACATCGCCACTATCTTCTTGTCGTTGGGTTTTTAAAACCACTGTTATCTGACACTGGTTGCCCCAAAGGTGCTTTCTCAAGAGGCAACTGGACTTTCTTGTTCCAGCTGTCCAATTGCCTCTTGAAAAAGCACCTTTAAGCACAACGATGACAACTGGAGAACCTCCATAGACATTCAGACTCTGGTTGGCTATTTTTTTCCACCTCCCAATGACCATTTGCAGCTTCTGCCTCTTGCCAGTTTTTGTGTGTCAACATGTTGGATTCCTTGAGAGCATTTCTATTATCCGAAGTTGGGGGAGAGGTTGACTTGAGGCTCTCAGCCCGTTTCACATTTTTCTCAGTGATTGCAGACTTCAAATCCTTCGCGTACTAAGTTTGTTGATGGTACTTTGCTAATTTTAGGTCAGTCCGATCTGAAGGCAGAGGTGGGATTCGGCAGGTTCTGACCAGTTCTGGAGAACCGGTAGCGGAAATTTTGAGTAGTTCGGAGAACCGGTAAATACCACCTCTGGCTGGCCCCGCCCCCATCTATTCTCTGCCTCCCGAGTCCCAGCTGATTGGAAGAGAATGGAGATTTTACAGTATCCTTCCCCTGCCATGCCCACCAAGCCACACCCAACAAGCCATGCCACGCCCACCAAGCCACGGCTACAGAACTAGTGGTAAAAAAAATTGAATCCCACCATTCACACCAACCCTTTCTTGCTTTTACTCAATCGTACCAGAGGTGGTATTCTACAGGATCGGACTGGTTTGACCGAACCGGTAGTGGAAATTTTAATAGTGCGGAGAACCGGTAAATACCACCTCTGACTGAGCCAGCCCGCATCTATTCTCTGCCTCCTGAGTTGCAGCTGATCGGGAGGGAATGGGGATTTTGCAGTAACCTTCCCCTGGAGTGTGGAGGGAATAGGGATTTCACAATATCCTTCCCCTGCCATGGCCACCAAGGCAGAGGTGGGATTCAGCAGGTTCTGACCAGTTCTGGAGAACCGGTAGCAGAAACTTTGAGTAGTTCGGAGAACCAGTAAATGCCATCTCTGGCTGGCCCCACCCCCATCTATTCTCTGTCTCCCGCGTCCCAGCTGATTGGAAGAGAATGGAAATTTTACAGTATTCTTCCCCTGCCATGCCCACCAAGCCACACCCACCAAGCCACACCACGCCCATCAAGTCACGCCTACGTAACCGTTAGTTAAAAATGTTGAATCCCCTACGTAACCGTTAGTTAAAAATGTTGAATCCCCCCACTGCCTCAGGTGGCATCAGAAACCTTTGAATGCAATTTTAGAGGTTTCCAAAACGAACTGAAAAAAGACTATTTTACATCCATGACTGGGAAGGAATCCCATGATCATTGTCACATTTAAGAATTTAAAAAAAAATTGCATTTAACATTTATTCTGGCCCCATTTTAAATTGCCCCGTAAGACTCTGGCCAAAAGTATCTTACTTTAGTTTAGCAAATATTAACTATCTTTCGTACTTATAAGGCCGGCCTGCGATTGTCATATTTCTGTGCAACTCTTAGTTTGCACAAATGTTCCTAATGCAGAATAGCGGGGTTTTTTTTTGCTCTGTTTTGCATGATACATACATGTCGTAATAAGGGTGGGACGAAACGTATCTTCCCATTTGCAAAAGAAACAGGATGTAACTGAGCCGGTTTTATTTTTCTTTAATTGGCTGCAGTTTATATATCAATAGCATTGCTCATTTCCCGTCATTTATAACGTTTGTTTTTCTAGTTTAAGAAAATGCAGAATGATGAAGCTACTTGTTTAATTCTCATTCTTATTCTGTTAATTGCTACCGCGTTTGATGATAAGCAGATCCAGAATTAACCAAAGCTGTACTTTTGAAGTGGGTGATTAAATATGATTTTGTCTAATGCCTACCTTGTCATAACAGAGATGTTGCCTTACTTTTTTGGCCTCACAAGTGATTAAAATTCCTTTGAGTTTGGGAGACTTGAGTGTGCCAGGAAAAATATTTTGAACTTGGTTGTTCATCTTATTTTATTTCTTATTTAGCTGTGTACCCCGAAGATAAGACCGGGTCTTATTTTCTTTTGACACCTGAAATAAGCGCTTGACATTTTCAGGGATATCTTATTATTTTTAAAGCGAGGGAGGCGGTGAGCATTGTCACCTCATGGCTGCTGCTGTGTTGCAATATTTTCGGGGTGGGCTTATTTTAGCACATGCGCTCAAAAGCCCAACCGGGCTTATTACCCTGGGAGGTCTTATTTTCGGGGAAACAGGGTGGGTTCAAGGACAAGCAGCAGATTACAGCACTGTGATTAGCATTAGAAGATACTAATAAATAGAAGGAAGTTCTATCTAGAGTTGTGTTAAGTTAGTCCTCTCCTTACAACCGTTATTTAGTGACTGATGTTACAACAGCACTGAAAGAAGTGATTTGACCATTTTCCACATGGCCTTTGCGGCATTCCCCAGGATCGCGTGATCAAAATTCAGATGCTTGGCAACTGATTCATATTTATGACGGTTGCAGTGTGTCCCCCCGGGGGGGGGCATGTGATTTACTCTTTGCAATCCTTCCAACAAGCAAAATCAGTGAGGAAGCCAGATTTACTTAATAGCCATGTTGCTAACTTTAATAACTGCAGCAATTCACTTAAAAACATTGTAAGAAAGGCCATAAAAATAGGCAAAACTCACTTAACAACTGTCTCACTTAGCAACAGCACTTAGACTTATATACGACTTCATAGTGCTTTTACAGCCCTGACTAAGCGGTTTACAGAGTCAGCCTCTTGCTCCTGGGTCCTCATTTTACCCACCTTGGAAGGACGGAAGGCCAAGTCAACCTTGAGCTGGTTAGGATTAAACTGCTGGCAGTGGGCAGAGTTAGCCTGCAATACTGCATTCTAGCCACTGGGAAGGAAGGAAGGAAGGAAGGAAGGAAGGAAGGAAGGAAGGAAGGAAGGAAGGAAGGAAGGAAGGAAGGACTGACTGACTGACTTAGATTTATATACTGCTTTTACAGGGATTTCCACCCCTCTCTAAGCGGTTTACAGAATCAGCTTGTTGCCCCCAACAATCCGGGTCCTCGTTTTACCGACCGCAGAAGGACGAAAAGCTGAGTCAACCTTGAGCCTAGTGACATTTGAACTGCCAATTGCAGGCAGCCCACGGTCAGCAGAGGTAGCCTGCTGTCCTGCACTCTAACCCCTGCGCCTCATACAACAGAAATGTTGGTCACAATTGTGGTCGTAAGTTAAGGACTTCCGGGAAAGTGAAAACAGCTGCCCAGGTTTCTCACACCCACTGTAATTTTGTAATATATGAGGTAGGACAAGAATGGCCCTACCTACCAAGGCTGAGACAGTGCCATGCCTAGCATGGTATAAAGTAGGCTTTTTTTGCTGAGAATTAGATGATTTATTTCCTTCTGGTTCTGTGGACACTGCAACATATGTTGTAATGCGATGGCACAATCTCTCTCTCTCTCTCTCCAGGCTGAGTCATAGGGCTATTTCCAATCAGCTAATGAGGAAAAACAGCAGAGAAAATTTCCAAGGGTACTTATTGTTCCCCCTGCCTTTAAAAAAACAGAAGAAAAAAAATCCTTCATTTTTCTCTTGTCTGCGAGCGTGTTACTTTTTTCCAGCTAGTTTGTAAGTTACACAATACAATACAATACAATACAATACAATACAATACAATACAATACAATACA